CACACACACAACAAACCTATGGGAGAATTTCCTTTTTCTCCACCATACACAACACACACACACACACACACACACATTCACGCACACTTGCGCTTTATTTCCGTTTCAGCGGGTTCGAAGGCCTGAAAAAAAGGGTTGGTGTTCTTTGGCTGAATTAGTGGCCGGGCGAGTCGCCAGTCGGTACCGCCTCGAGAATCGACGGGCCACTTGCGACCGACGCAAGGTTGACAGAAGATGGTCTACGCTTTTCCGGCGCCTCTGCTATGATCAGACACTCGCCCCCTTGCCATTCGACATTGTGAGCATGCGCCCATGTGTGTGCGTGAACTTGTCTGTCAGTGGGACGAGGCCATTCGGCGCCATACAAATGTGCTTCAACAAATGAGGGGAAAAATCATCATTTTTAATAAGCACATCGTCAGCCTGAATCTCTTAGTGTGATCTCTGGACAACCATATGAGTAGGCCCGACGATCTCAGCGATTTGCCTGCCCAAATCACCTTATACGACATTGGCGAACTTTGTTTTCATCCAAGAATTACTGATAGTCTCGGAGACTACTCACATCAAAAATAAGTAGCATCATCGATTTCACTGTCAAGTGCATGCTTGCCCAAACGACAATCTGACCACAAAATGTGGCTTTGATGAGGCCTGATGTACCCTGATTATCGCATCTGCCTTGTGGCCTACTGGAACCCATTGATGGTACTCTCGTACCTAGTCCGAATCGAATCCAACGAATGCTTTTGCAAGAGAGCGGGTCGAGGTGGAAACCGCAGTCCAACCGGGGTTTAATGACCTTTTGTGAGCATCGAGAGTCCTACTCATCAGTCCTTATGTGGGCTAGACGGACTGACACGTTTTTGACATGTAAATCGACAACTTTACTCAATTTCGATGTGTGTAGCTTTCAAAACCATCTATGAATCTTGAATAAGGGCCCCTGTCAGCCTAGGTCACCAATGGTGAGGACGGACCGATAGTAGAATTTTCCCACAATCAGATGAGTGAGACCGACATGGAAAAATTCATCTACCCGTCTTTTGTCACGTCTATGGTGACTGGGACTCTTAGCGACATTTACTGATAGTTTTGAAAACGTATTCAGCATCAATAGTATTCCGTAATTGCTGATAGTTCCGAAGGCTATTCACATCGAAATTAAGCAACGTCGTCGAATGCAATGGTACACACATGTTTGGTTAAATGCCAATCTCAATATAAAATGTGAGTTGGCAGAGGCCTGACCCTGCGTGAATACCGCATCTGCTCTGTGACAAGGTGGTAAAGTGGTAAAAACGTCACCGCGACAATCACGAGGCAGTATCGACTCCTGTTGGTGATGAGATAAGCTGGCAGAGATGTACATTTGGGCAATTCAACTATCAGTCCGTAAGTCACTTACATCTACAGTACCGTTAGTCGCAATGGCTACATGTACCGAAGATGATAATGGGGATGACGAACGGCCCAAACGTGACCCGCTATTGGTGCAACCATTGGCCAAATTGCCTCGGCGCCAAGTCGAATCTTGCGTCGAAAGGTCGAGCGTCGAACGATGGAGCATCGAGCTTCTGAAGCCCAATCGAGTCTCGACATTTTCACAGACGCCTCCATCCAGTCACACCGGATCATTTAATCCATTTCGCATGAAGGGATCCAGTGCAGGTGCACACACACAGACACATACTTTCACATACACACACACATACATAAACACACGCATGCATATAGACACGCAGATGCAGCTACGAGTGCTTGTAGGTGGGCACGGTTACCAGATTTCGGGGCCCATCACTGGCAGAGATCATTTAATTCGTATGAAAAAACGGCTTCGTCCTCGAAAGTCTGGAGTGCAGAGAAAAGAGGCATAAAAATCGGGCTTCTCGCTGCCTCGAAGGGTGGTGGCGACAAGAGGAGGGGTTGCTGCGGCCAGATGCAGGACCGCTCCTCACGCACTTGGCTTGGCCGCTTTGTCCCAGCCTCAGATCGTCCATTCGAGGGAGGAGTGTATAAAAGAACATCCGTGCCCTCCCGAGGCTGGGGAAGCCTCGAGATCGGATTGAAGGCCCGTACGGGGTGGAGGACGTGATGCGAATCGGAGAGGCTGCAGGCAGTGGGGCAGAGAAAAGGCTCGTAAAATCATAGCCGCCCACGTCTGGCTGAATCAATCCCCGCCCCACCTCGACACCCCCTCCACACCCAGTCACGCCCGAAGGCAGGTGGGCATTGTCTGGTGGGAACCCTGGGACCCCTTCCGATGGCCAGTCAGATTCGTGGGACGGGGACGGGGACGGGCGATTTATTCGCCTCGACGACTCTCTGATCCGGTAGCTTGGACGACCGACGGCTGCGAGTGGGTCGTTGAGATGCAGAACAGGCCTGACCTCGGCACAATTAGCAAAACTGTGGCCACTTCCGCATGCGGTTTCTGTATGTACATGAATGTATGTGTGGAGATATGAGTGTGTGTGTGTGTATGTAAGATAGATAGAGAGAGAGAGAGAGAGAGGCTGTGTGTTGCATGGGGGCATTAGAGTGGGAATCGGAGCAGGTCAAC